CTTCAGAGGATATTGCATCCACTCACCATTTGCTCAGTTGTTTTTTCGTAGGTTCTTAGCTGTTTTCAATCCTTCTATAATCGATTAGCAATTACTGCCTCATTTGTGCAGTTAGAGAGAGAAAAAGGAAAAGAAACGGAAGAAAGATGATGATACGTCATTATGAACGACAGATGAACTTAGTGAACAGCTATCCATTCAGCTCACCAGAAAAACGGACGTTTTGCTGGAATCATTATGTACCGATCTGATGATGAATGATTTGGCAGCCGTCGAATCAGAAAAGAGCAATCTGGAGGAAAAAGTAGCCGCTATGGGTAAGTTCTATCCTGGATCCAGCTAGTAGTTCAAAGCTAGACTTCGCATGTACAGTAATCTGAGTCTTATCGGTCCTGATAACAGTTTTCACCAGAAATTCAACTTCGCACCCATTGTAATCTGAGGTCTGTTAGAATTCTGATAACGCCTAGTGTTAAAACTTGAAGTTTGCACTTACCGTAATCTGTCGCCAAAGTAATTACATGAAAAATAATTTGAGAAAAAGTATAACCCAAGCGGTCGTTATAGTCATGATGTTAGCCATCTGTTTTGCCTAGTAGATTTCTCACATATTGATTGTTAATAGATGGGTGATCGATACGTGTGGAATGAATCGAGCTATTAGTGGAGCGTGTAAACCCCTATGTTTACTTAGTGGTTCCAAAGCACTAGGTCTCATTCGTGGTTCATATTGTTATACGAACACTATAACTACTTGATTTAAGAAAAAGTGTACGAAACTGTGACAACATGCGGCTCATCGTTCATCGATGATCTTTCGGCCGAAGAGGTGAATTCGTACGGAAAGCGACTCGTCCGAAGTTATATGGCTGGTGTTGTACACGTTCGTGAACAACTATCAGCAGCGAGGGAACGACGAAAAAGGTTCATCATTAACATTCTATCTGTTCCTTTCTCTCGTTTTTCTTATCCTTTCTACACATACGTTCTATTTTTTGTCGTCTTTGGAATGCACGTCGTCTACAGTGTAGGCGTCGATCGGCTACCGTATTCTGCCTCCGTTGATATACAACTTTTCGATTCGCCTCCTAGTTATATCTGTACGAATTAAAAGAATGTCTGAGTTGTCAAACTAGTAAATATATCGATTTTTCATGCAATTAGAATGTGCTGGATTCGCGGCCTAGAATCCATGTCATCGATCGATTGACTGTATCGATTCTAATACTCATTCGACATTGTACGATTTCATAGAGATCATTTGTGAAGAGTATAAAAACATTAGCGATTAGAAGAAAACTCTTATCTTTTATTAGGTTTGTTTAGATTCTTTGAATTTTCTTTTCAGATGCCTTGAATTAGTTGATGTACGACGATTGAAGCTGCAACAGTTCACTCAACTCTTCACCTGCGAAAATGATGCTCAACAGGTCTTGTTATTTTTAGCACAGGACTTAAAAATGAGTGTATTTTAAGCCGAAATTTTGAATTTCCTTCAGATTTTAAGCGGTTATCTTTGTTTATGGGCTAATTCATGTTTCTTTTTCGAAACAGGGATTTTTGAGGCTATGGAGAATCGATTCCAGAGCTTGTTTAGGTTGGATGGCAGCACAGTCATTCGAATTTACTTATTTTTTTGTGTTTAATGTATTAACACTGACATACAGTCAATCGTTACCTACGTCATCATGGTTAGATGATATTCCTGTATGTTAAGCAGCAACGTACGCGATAGTTTCATCTTCACCCAGATCACTTCAGGTGACGAAGAGCTCGACATGGAGGCGTTTTAAGATTAATTTTCTCACTTGTCTGTTGAGTTCAGCTTCATGGCTAGAAACGAGGTGGACAATACAATATTTATTCGACAGTGAATTTCTACGGATATTGCCTTGTTTGGAGTCTGGAAAGGGACGCATTGGAATGTCTCATTTACAGAATCACATACATTTACTACTCCAAAAGAAAAAGCTGAAAAATCCAAATGTCAACTTTATGAGAAGTAACTTTTAAGCAGTCTATTTCTTAGATGTGCTTCGCTTAGTGAGGAGGTGCCTGTAGCGCAGTAGTTAAGAGATACCCTGCAATAGACATAGGATCGATCCCGCGCCTGAGGCTCACCAAGCCTTCCATCCACCGGAACTGGCAAATTGGTACCAGACCTATGTCGAAGGATAGGAGCACTGATTCGATAGATCGGCCGGCCACAGTGAGTCGTAATTTAGGTCATATATTATGCATGCAGTCATCTCTAGCGATGTTTGATTAAGTCGAATGCATGGCACATCTTTTAAGGATTTATCAAAGTCGAGAGCTTTATCCTTCCTCTTATTGATGTGCACGAGCCACGTGCATTTCTTACTGATGAGGAATGTGCTTGTCTTGAATCAAAAAATCTGCCTGAAAGATGAGAGGCGGTCGTGCATGAGCACATTTGGTCCTGTTGTTAAAATTCCATGTACGAAATAATTAAGGTTCCCATGCATCGGATGTCGCCCAGTTTAGCTGCAATCTTATCTAAGAGGGTGACTTGACACGTCAGTAGGCTTCTGTTTGAACCCGAACATTTCGGTTAAGAATAAGCTTAAGATGAAAATGGACCACATCCTGAAGGAAGGTGTTGCGCAACGTGGATGACCACCTTTGGTCCACAACTATCGGTGAACAATTGTGTTGACGAACTCCACTGATAGACTGGGTTTTCACAGGATTCTGGGAAGAAACTCCTAGCAAGCCATTGATGAAAAAGGCCTTAATTGAAGAATGTATTAGAGGGCTGACTTCAGTTACTCAGAATGATTGTAACATAACAGAGATAAAGAGACTACTTGTAATAGAGGCTTATGTATATAATGTTGATTATATCAATAACTGCAAGCCAAGTAGGTAAAAAATTAGTATTTGTTAAATAGAGAGCAAGAATGGACGTTGAACAGATACTTTAGGCTATAAAATGGCTTGAAGAACTTCACGAAACGTTGTTGAAAGACTACAATCAAATGGGTGGCGCTGATGATGATCTACGCTGCCTGAGGGAGGATCGTATGAGACTGGAAGAGACGGGTCGAGTGAGTTACAAAGACTAGTTATATTACAGATTACAGATGGACTTTTAGTGAAGCGCAGTGAAGCGCTGCTTAGACTAACACTGTGTGTGGTTCAATGCCACTGAATCTGTGAGAACCAAGGGACGATCGTGTACTTATCATTCTTAGTTGCTATTTCGGAGGATTTGGTACTTCTTTAGGACACATACGATTTGTCGTTGATCCATCTGTTTTGGATTATCACCAAGGTTAAGCGCGTTAGCTTCGTCTAATTTGTACGTTTTCGTTCTTCTACAAGAGTAGCAGCTGTTAAAGTATTTTTGTTGCAGAGCACATACGAATATGGAAGGCAACTATGTCAAGTAGCTTTAGTCCTCCGCAGATCACTAAGGATTGATGCAAGGAGTCAGGTCTGTGATTAAGAAAATATTGGATACCATTTGTATTACTTAGGCAATAGCAAAGCCAATTTTCGATCGCTATCGATTCATTTCATTATTTATTTTATATTATTGTTACTGTAGTATTATCATTATTCGACAGTAGTTTATGTAAATTTGATAATAACATGGAAACTAAGACCATCACAAGCAAAAAATTAAGCTACAAAGGCCAATGAGTTATCAAGAACGTCAAAGCATAGAGATTTTGCAGGTGGGCTTTGCAAGTAGGCGAAGTAAGGAAGGCGATTGAAAGCGAATGTTTAGCCAGAAAACGGCTGCGACACTTTGGTTTAAGCGTGTTTTCGTAGTTCCTGTGAAAAGTGGGCTCCACAAAGAGGATTCGTATGCTCGAAAAGACTCTGGTGGTAAATTGTTCTGGCAACAATATTACTAGATAGGAACATTATTCGAAATGGTCGTAGTTATTAAGCAAGCCATCTAAAACGAAGGACTTGCTGCTAGTTAGACTTTGGCCTCACGTAGAGAAAATGTTTCTGTGGAACAATAAAAAGATTGCGAGAATACTGCGGACTCGTTTTTTTACATTTTTTACATATCATAGCCTTCTTTCGTCAATACCATTATGTGACCGATATACAAAAGAAGGGTTGCACGGAGCGATATCCAACAGTGACCTCAGTGATTAGCATTGAAAATGAAGTAATGGACGGATTATTCCATTAGAATGCAGGAGCAGAGCATTAAAAATCATTAACTTTGGTATCGTTTTCTTCTGCTGCTTTCCCATACTGATAGTCTACTTCGGACATGATCCTCAACTTCCATTTCGTAATCGATGAACTGTTTGCATTTGTCGAAAGAACTTGTTGAGGCTACGTATACCTCCACTCTTTTAACAGATGGTTCACCAAGACGACATGCGCACATCTCACTGGGGCTCAATCTCGGCTTTATTGTCCATCTTTCTCTTGCTCCTTTTATTATTTCACTGGCTCCGTCTATGTTTCTTTTCGAAAGTATGTTTTTCTGACTCTCAAGGAAAGAATAGCTTTCAAAAGTCTGGATCCCGTAGACTAGTTTGACGTTTTGTACACCGGTTACCTTCTAAAAGATGTCGTACAAGGAGTGTTTTGTACAATTTTTGACATTTCTCAACTCTTAACTCGCATCTAAGCTGCACGACAGAGGGCTGGAAGAAAACACGAAGTTAAAGCGATGATTTCTGAGCTCTGGACCCGCTAGATTTGGTGGCCACATGTGGTCTGAGAGCACAGAATATGATCGATGCTATTCTTTTCTTTCTGCACTATTTTTTCCCTCATGTTCCTTACACACTTCTGATTTATACGCAGTTTTTGACGACGTGGTGTATCTTCGTCAAATTGCCTGTGCTATTAGGTTGGCATGGATTTGTTAGGGCAGCTGGAAGTGGTTTTATCTTTGTTTGAACAATCAGAGGAATTTTAGCAGTCATCGAGATTGCTAACTTCTTCAGAAGAAAGCAGCGGACTTTTTTTATATCCACGAGAAGGTCTAGTGACCACCTGTGATGAAGACCTGGCGCCTCTATATCGAGATCCGGAGAAGAGTAACTTGTCGAAATACTGCAACAAAAGCACGGAAAAACATTATGCATTACTGCTATTTTTTAAACTTTTCCTGTTTTCAGATAGGTTTAAATGAGAAGCTGGAGCAGACGTGGGGGCGGTTGTGTAGAGCTCTTAGTGAAAACGAAGCCAAGCTTAATGTTACTGAAGCGTTCAACACTACCATTGTCGAGGTGAGGCTAATTTAATGCTTTGAACAGGATTCACTTTTGCTTTCATTTCTGTTCTATCTGTCTGAAAATACTATTATCGAATTTATAGTGGGGGCCAGTGTAGCGCAACGCTCCGAGGCACCCTGCAATACACATGGGGCGATCATTGCGCTGCCGGGTTCACCTGGCCGTCCATACCTACGAGGTCGGCAGATTGGTACCAGACTTATCTGGGAGGGTAGCAGCACTTAGCTCGATGCATCAAGAGGCCACTGCGATCATTGTAAAGGCCACATATGCAATCAATCACCTCCAACAATGCTTAGTGAAGTAGAATGCATCCCTCAGAACTAGATAAACGCCGAGAGCTTTATCCTTTATCCTTACCACAAAATATGATAATAGCATGGTAAATTCAATCTCCGTTTAGTTTCCATCTAACCGGTAAAGCTGCTGGTAAATCGATTATCGATCGACACGTTTGTGTTTCAGGTGAATCACCGTATAGACGAACTTGGCCATAAAGTTAAAGAACTTCGTGATTCACGTCTCAGTCCGGAGAAGATTTGTGCGATGGAGCGACGAAGGCTGGCAAATGACATTCAGGAATTACGTCATATTGCTGATATGCTGATCGCTCAAGTTAACGCTAATCATAAGTGAGTCAGTTTTAATAAATAAAATGTATATTTAATAGGATAACAATTAGCAAAATGCACAACTTTGTCATTAGATTCGTTCTAACATCTCTTATGAACCCATCCCATTGAGATTCGTCATTAATAGCGATTATTACCGTCATGAAGTTATTTAATCTTACTGTTGGAAAGTTTGCCGCATTTACTTGTTGTACAACTAGTTTGTATAATTACGAAGAAAGTTTGCTCCAGTGTCTTCATTTTCCTTTGATATTAAGGTAATCTCGATGCTTTGCCCAGAGCCTTTAACTAGGAGCTTCATGTCGCAAAAAATCGCCGGAAAAAAATGGAAGACTTCTGGTAGTATTATAGATTTTTCTCATTCGATTCATTTCCTCGCACTCATCGTCTACGAAGGTCTTCCAACTTTACATGTGGCTTCGGTTGCTTCTTGAGGATTTCCATTTCATCTTGAATGTCGTAGAATGCCGGTCGATTTGATTCTCACTGGAGTCCTGAGAAAGCCAGGTTGGAGCGTTCCCAATTGGATTGCAGAGAGTGCCTATTTCCCGTACAACTCTGCTACCAATTTTCCGATCCAGAAGGGATGAGAGGCTTGGTTGGCCAGGAGCGAAATCGAACAACCACCATGCTCGTGATGACCGACATAACCACCACTGTGCTATCCTCCCCATTATTGATTACAGATTACCGTAGTTATAATAGGGGAAATATATTATACATAGAACAGTTATATATAAAATAACGAAATAATTACAATAAAGGAATAACCGAATTAGCTGAAGTCAAGTCGACCTTAGACTAGTGAAGCTAGTACTCGTCCCCATTGTGCACTAGATATACTTTGCCTGCTTAATGTACATAGATAAAATCACACTTTTACCTAGAGCTTTGCTTTTTTTAAAGTTCAGCTGACTGTTTTCTATGAATTGATATTTCGAACCGTTCGCCTAGCTGTGTTAGTCAAGCACGCGCTCAGCACGTCCATTTAGGCTCTGTTGAAGCAGATGCGAGGTTTATTTGTTGGGTTCAACCTTTACCTTTATCCCTATCGACTGTTCAGTCACTTGGTTGTATGCGCTTTTGCGTCTCTTCTAGTACGATGGAATACACATATGCACCAACACACCATGAGACAATCTGAAGCAGAACAGACAAGAAGTACATTTTTCGAATCTTCTTGCATTACCAATTTAAGCAAATGGTTGCTCACGTTTATCGTTCGATGTTTCACTCGGCAACCCTAAGCACCTTCGTGTCTAACCGGATTGAGAACTCCTACAAGAGAAGGACCCATCAATTTATGAATATATGATATGATTATCATTTGTGTCATTGTAATTATTACGTTTTAAAAAACCAATAATTCGATTATTGCAGTGCCACTGCTGAAGTTCGTCAAGCAGCGACGGCATCGATCCGAAGTAAAGTAGACGGCGTTGATGCAGCCCATCGCCAAATGGACAGTCTTTTCATCGAAAGCGTTGAACCAGCTCGTAGTCAGTCGTTGTACAAGTTCAGTGAGCAGTCGTCCACAACCCCTGAAGAAAATTCACGTTCGTACTACCATGTCACCAATATTTCTCGACGACCATCCTCCGGCAGTAATATTGCAGCGCATTCGGGGTTGAATTCCACAAATGACAATCGTTCCTGGCGCAGCCATGAATTCGTTCGTGAGACCAATTTGGGTAGTATTCGACTCAGTGACACGGAGAGCTACTTGTAGAGAAGATTTCCGTCGTGTTTCAAGCCCTACAATTTATTCAGAGTTCCATTTATAGTTTGCATGCATGTAGATTGTACGCGCATCGATCACGATGAGGAAGAGACGCGACACCAATCGATACGCCCACGATTGTGGTATCTCCCTATTGCTCCTACTTAAGAAACAGTAACAACGCTCATTAAATAAACGGGCATTTCATGGTTGAGTATTAATTAATTCTTGATCACGTAGACTTTTTCTCTCGCGAAAACGAGTAGCTCTGGTAAAGAAATTTGTTTGAATATTTATGCTCATATTGTTATACGAAATTTCTTTCTACTGCTATTCCAGTTTGTCCGGTTGTAATATTATGGATGTTTTATTTTCAGTAAAATGCTATTTAATAAAACTCAACTGTTATGTTTGTAGTGTTTTCATGTGCGTATGCACATGTATAGGTCTGTCCATATGCGAAGGCGTTTTCGTTTTCACATTTTTATAAATAGCTCGTGAGTGTAACACTTCAACAATTACCTACACACCTAAAACAGACGCAGCATTAGACGTGACGAAAATGTATAAAAAAACGATAAAGCTCTCGACGTTGATCAACCACCAAGGGATGCGCCATGCATTTGACTTGGCTAAACATGGTTTGGAGGTGATTGAAAGCATATCTGGCCTTTACGATAACTCGTAGTAGCCTACCGATGTATCGAATCAGTGCTGCTATCCTTCCAGACAATTCTGGGACCAATTCGCCGCCATCGGAGAGATGGAAGGTTTGGTGGGCCATTGGCGCCGGGATCGATTCCACGTGTGTTTGGCCCCTCCGACTACTGCGCCACACGCGCCCCGGGCTCAACGAAAATGTATTTCTCGACGATTTAGTAAATTTAGCAAAATTCGCAGAATAATTGCTCAGCAAATGGTCGAAAATAGGCAATCAATGTGTACTGGAATTTCACAAAGACTCATCAAAGGAGAAGATACGCCTTGTCTCCATGTATAGATAAACGGTTCAACCAATCGAGGACAAATAACACGCCTCCAACTGATCGCCAACGAAGTAGTAGTGGACAAACCAGAGTTATGCTTACCCTGCCTACATTGATGAATAAAACGAGTGATCGCTTCAATGAATTTGTAGCGTCGACCAATAGCGTGCGGATCAGTTGTTCCCCTAATGTACAGCCGCATTAACCAGTGGCTGTTTTGGGAGAGGCAACTGTGAGTTATCCAATCATGACAAGTGATTTGCAAGCATTTTATGTATGGATTGATTTTTTCCTTGTTTAAGAAAGTGCACATCGAAACAGTAAGAGAATTTTCTACATAGCCGAAATACCACGAGGTTAGCACAACTTTTGTTCGGTATCGGATCAGTCGCCTTCCTCAGAGCTGCGTTGATCTAAGTGCATGATCCACAGTTGCTCGTCGTCACGATGTGATTGTTCGTTGTTGTGCGAATGTTAAGGAATAACCAACAGAACCTTGCTAAGAGAGCACCCAATTTCCAACAACTGCAGTGTCGATTATTCAACTTTACCGTAAATAGCCGTTAGCAACCAGATTTACAGTGACTTAAATAGCCTTATGTGGCCTTTTTATTTTTGTTTCTGTTTTGTTTTATATGTTATTATTTTTGTTCTTCTTTGTTTCACTACCTTCGCACACGATTCAATGATTTAATTGTTTAGCACCAGTGAAGGTTAAGGGTCTTTATTTAATACTGAAATGCTTTGCAATGAAGTTCTTAACATTAGGTACACGAAAAATAAGCTAGTACTAGTCCTAAAGGACGTTAATGCCGATCGATAAGCATTGGTTCAGCTGTTCTCTTGTCATTCCCCTTTGATCCGACTTCTTGTTTTCGGATTCGTTCAGAAATGATGTCCATATGTGCTGCTTCGTATTCAATGTAATGTGGAAGCAGACAAAGTTCAATCTCTCTGGAATTTCTTTATGATTTTCACTGAAAACGACGACCATGAACGGAAATGATTAGTCGCTCCAGCAGAACAAATCGCTCTTATTGACCGGTTTGCGTCAAAAATCAATGTGCGTATTTTCTTTTCTGCTGCTGCATTATGTCACTTTGACAAATATATCATCAACATGCAATAAAATAATCACTAACCGAAAATGTGGCCTATCCACTGGTAGTCGTCTCCAGCATTGTAGTACGACGTCATAGACGAAATGCGGCATCTTTGGCTGCCTTTCGAAACGATGTCCGTCTGTGACGGATAAATTTTGGTGAATATAATAAATAGATTTCTATAAGGATTGAAATGATAAAGCGTTTAGCGCTAATCAGTCCTTAAGGAAAGCACAGTGCATTGACCTTCATTAAGCATCGTTAGAGGTGATTGGATGCGTATCTGGCCTATAAAACTAATTGCGATGGACTACCGATGCACGAAATCAGTGGTACCTTCCTCGCAGAGATTTCTGGCACCAATCTTTCGAAGGCTTGATGATCCCAGGATGTGGGTTTAAACCAAAAACAACCAAGCTGTTAGCCGATAATCTTGTCTCTGACCTATAAATTTCAGTGACTATTTAGAGAAACGACAAGAGGAGGCCCTGATTCTGTTATTATGAGACTGTTGAAGTAAAAAATTCCGGCTAGTGAGAAATTAGTTAAATGGATTTTCCGCTCTTGACAGTACCATTTCTGAAGGCAAGCTCTTTTAAGGGAGCTAATCTGGTGCTTCACTTTGGGAAACGGAATAGAAGTTAGCCATATTATTTCCCTATTTCACTATAAAGGAAAGCAAGAAATGTGTTTGCAGAAGAATAAACCGGTAAAAACGACAGGAAATATAAGTAAGGTTGTTGCTATACTCATTAAAGAATCTCAAAAATAAAAGCGTACCGTTTAGAGCATGTATAACCTTTTCCGGTCCCAACATACCGTATGGCTCACCGATACCGTACAACTCATGAGCAAGCACGCCGTACGACCATACGTCCGCTTTCGGTGTCATCTCACGACTTTTCAACACCTCTGGCGGTAACCATTTGAATCTTTAAGCAGTATCACTTAATATGTTTGTCATCTTGTTTCCATTCCTTAGATATCGGACTAGCTTTCAGCTTACGGAATTTTGTTGGGATCATCATAGGTGGCGAATGTTTCGCTACGTGTTCGTTTCGATATACCGAAGTCGGTGATTTTTAGGATATATCTGAAACGCGATTCCCAAAAATCCATTCCTAGGTGAATGAAATCGTCTCATGAAGTAACGATAGTTCGGTAGAAAAAGGTTTCGTGCCGCAAATAATTTTTGAAGCCGTTTTTCTACTTTAAAATGAGATTCGGTGTGATGACGATACACACAAAGACTATATACGGTTAGAACAGCTCAATATTTAGGATTTGATTGAGTGCACTATTGTTCTGTAACTAATCAATGACTCGATCAATGTTCGCTACGGTACTCTGGTGGTTGGCGCTTACTATAAACCACGTCTTTATTACGTCAGCATTTTTGGTATATAAATCATGTAATATATTGATGTACACAAACAGGGAACATATATGCAAGCTAATTCCTAGCAAAAGGGACGCATTAAAGTGAGATAATAGTCTTACATGTAAGTGTCTTTACAACATGAAGAAAAGAAGTTATTACAAACCCCAGAACCGACTTTCTCTTAATCTCAGCGTTAATCAGTAATTCACTGTTTTCTTCATAAGCAAACACAAATTTGTTATTATGGTATTTATTAATACACAACAGATGACGTTTCGGAGGTTTCACCTTTTCAGAGCCGGTTTCTTACCAGAAAAAAACCAGAATCCCACATATGCAAGACTCCATCCGGCTGGTCTCCAGTGATAAGCAGAAGATTTAGGAACAACAAAGCAGCTGTGAAGGAAGTGAAACCGCTGAGATGCCAGCTATTGTGTATTAATAAATGTTTTAATAACAACGTCGTGTTTACTCACCATGGAAAACAGTGAAGCTGAAACGAATCGTACCTGGTAACGTCAATGGGGTGACTGCACACTAGCACATTTCGTGCTGCCAAATCGCCATGAACAATGACGGGAATCTGAGCATGGAGATGAGCCATACCTCTGGCGATTTGACACAACCAATCCACAGTTTCGTTGACGCTTATTTGGTAGTTGATCTTCTGCAAAATAAACATCCTTTATAGTAGCAGCTAACGCCGGCCCTTCAGTTGAACTCTCTTTCTTTTTATCACAAAAATGCTGCGCATTCAACAATGCCTGTGTTACTGCAAAGTATGGGACTCCCTACCAGAAAAGTGCCCATCGCCTTTCTGATGTGTTTTGATTCTTTTATTCTAACCGAATGCATTTAATTAAATCCTTTTTATGGTGGTAATAGCGGGATCTTTGATGGAAATTCAATAAGAAGTGTATTTTTCACAAGCCGCTAACACGTTCACCACCACACCATGCTCACATGCTCACATGAGTCCTTCGTTTCCGCGGAAAAGGTAATAGCGTGTTCGGTCCTCACCGCAGACACATGCGGTCCCGAGCTTCGCAAACATCTCACCGTCATAGTACGCTTTTCGTTTATTTATTAGTTACAAAAATATAGATCAATACAATGGGTGAAGCAACTCTGTACTGATTCTAAATTGCTTTCCAATCGTGAGTATGACCTCTTGAGGCGACCATTTAACTGCAATTAGTCCAAATTATCGTGCCACTTCACCGACGTCCGAGAGCATTGAAAGAATAAAAAAAAAGCCTCGGCATTGATCAAATCCTTAGAGAAGCGTCCTGCATTCCACTCCGTTCGTAGCATCTCAGAGGTGATCAAATACTCACTTGGCCTATGCAACGACCTTTGGTAGCCTACCGGTATATGTCAGCGCTACCGCCTTGCTAAAACTCTGCTACTAATTTTACAACCTCGAATGATAGTGGAATAAAGGGAAAAGCTCAGTTGACAAAAGGTCCGGAATTGAACCAACGAACACGCATGTCTTACAAGGCACTCTTAACCACCGCGCCATATGCGCTCTTTTGAGAAGGATTGTTAAGGTTTAATTCGCATATTATCCGACATTGGAGCTGTTCTAAGCGCACGGGTCGGTTGCATTGTAATGCGCTAGATGTTCTCGCAACAATAAGTTAAATAGTATCATTATAGGTCCTATAAGCAAGACGTAAACATTTAAACCATTGACATCAAATATCCCATCAAAAAATATTCTGGATAATCTAGAAGAAATGGATATTGAATGACAGAATATAGAGAGTGGACATACTGACGCGACAAAATGAATCCAATGCGCCTTTGTCCATCATCTCAAAGATTAGTAAGATATTACTTTCAGCCGCTTCTAATGAGAATCCAAAAAATCGCACGACATTTGGATGCTTGAGTTGCTGAAAAAATCCACTTAATATTAAGATCTTTACGAAATGCTTAATTTAATTTCTTAATTTTTGTTTTTCAATCCTTAACCTGTCACTTTAACTATCCAGTAAGAAACTCGAGTGGAACCTATTAAAGTATCTATTCGTCCAAAATGCACTTTAGAGCTCTTCGATGAGCTTTCTTCTACTCGTACGACGAACTTGAACAGCATTTACTATGCCATCTATTCATGCTGTTTCGTGACGACTAAGTAGCGAGTAGCTTGTTCTTGACTAGTTTTTCCTAAGTAGAGGCAGGAGTTATTTACAAATACGCCACTTTTCATATGTTTGACAACAGTTTGATTGCAGGCTTTTGGGTGATTTGACGGACGGGATACAACCTGTATGCACAGAAATCAATGTCCATATATATTTAAGTTCCTATTCACACACATAAGAAGCGGGTAAAGCAGTTATAGCGATGCCACTGAGCACGAGCACTGTACTAGTTCGACCCCACACTGGCCCACTAAGCCTGTCATCCTTCCGGAGTTGGGGAATTAGTATCAAACTTGTCTGGGAACGGTTCACTTCTAAAATTCAAATAAGGATGCCTTAACAGGACTCCATGAAAAATCAACATGGCCAACAATCCATGACTTTCTCGAAGAAGTCGATAATCCTCAAGCAGCTGCCGAAGCTAAACGAGAAAAGTTCCTCTGCGGATGGTGGATAAGAGGAAACGAATCGACTATAAGAAATGCTAGGATCCGCACAGTGTGAATATGGGATGATTAGACCAAAAGGAGAATAGGAGAAAGGAAGTGCCAAACCTGTATCGTCACTTGCAGGATGGAGACGATTCTCAACCTTTTGGATTTACAAAAAAAAACTTTTGAATACAATTTTACTTCATTTTTCGTCAGTTTTCCTTTCACTTTTTGACCTCTCTCATTTCTGAGTTTCATTCTGTTTTCGTCTTTTTTCCTATAATTGATCTTAAAAAAGGTGCCAACGTATAAATTGCTGCATAGTTTGAACTAGATACATAAAAAAAAAATAAGTACCATATAACAAAAGGAGTTAACGAACCTGACTCATCTCCACTTCTGCTATCCATGGAAGTCGTTGATCTTTATCTGTGCAAACCAATCGAAGACTCTTCACCGCTACTGCAACCCTGCTGCCGCTTCGAGTCTGCAAGAAAAGAATGAGTTGCTTTAGCCGAGCAGTGTGTGTTCACTTAGGTATATCTGTGCTGACAACGTTGTGTATTAATCGACGACCACTGCAATCAATAAGCATCTATTGTTCAGTGCTTTTACTTACATCATTCGCACTATGCATTGCCTATAATTCTGAGATCATATAGTAGTAATAAACTAACCTTAAACTCTCCAGCGTATACGGCACCAAATGCACCTTTTCCAAGCTGACGCATGCGATCCACGATCTAAAAACTACTATGGCAAGAGAAATAGAAAGAATGAAATCGCCTGTAGCAAGTTTCATACTATATGAATAAGGAAGTGGTAACATAAATAATGTATTACGAGGAAGAGATAAATATCCATCTACACTCACACTCCCTACTGGTACTAAATTTGAAGCTATTGGCCTAAGATTTTTTTCTCTACTAATTCATAGCCCAGAACCGCTTATTTATCAACTTATCAGCTTACCTTTTCAAAGGTTGGCACCTACGAACTCCAATGAATGCTACTTCACTTTATGAAACGATGAAACGATGAAAACGACGACGTCGTTTTCATAGGAAACAATGTAACTATTAGTGACGTGTGTAATCGGTGAGCCACCGGAAATGATAATCGTGGTTCGATCTGGCCTCAGGATCCGAATTTTGCAAATATCTCAATAACCTTATGGTTGAATCACATCATATCCTGCCTTGAAAAATTGCGGTAGGCAAAAAATAAGAGGTTAACATTGCGATTTTAACTGCTATAATGCTGAGATATTTGCAAAACTCCGGACCGCAGGTGTCAACGGTGGGGAACGAACGCGCTATTGTTCTTTCCGGTGAGTAACGCGTTCACCACCACACCATGCGGGTTCTTCGTTTCGCCTGTCTGGTCCTACCGATCATTTTCATTGATGGGTGATTGCTGATGGCAAGGGATCGATAGAACTAGCTGAAAGAGAGGCGAAACGAAGGACCCGCATGCTGTGGTGGTGAACGCGTTACTCCCCGGAAATGACAATAGCGCGTTCGTTCCCCACCGCAGACACCTGCGGTCCAGAGTTTAGCAAATATCTTAGCAGCCTCGCTATTTCTGAACAAGAAAACGACGCAGTTATTAGTAATATTAACTTTATCTCATTAGCTGTAATAACGGTAACGACGAAGGCAGATTAACGAAAATTCATTTCAATCCAGTGCCATTTTTCAAATAGGGCCAGATTTCAAACAACGTAGGAAACCCCTGTAGAAAAAAATTTCTCTGTTCGATTCAACATTGCAAAATAGGAAAGAAATTTCCCATGTGTACACTGCTAGAATGAATTAATAATTGTAAGGTAGTAGACAATCACTTTAAAAAACAGTTGAGGCCAGCCTTTACTGTATTTGTGATAGCTACGCCTACCGTATCTCATCGTAAGGACTACCAGAGACAAACCAAATCGTTTTGATCAACTTCCATTGATCGATCGGCTACAATACAAAACTCGTCCTTTGGACAGTCTGTCCACGATAGAAGTGGTTTTCGTTCAGGCTAAATGAACCGATTTTTAAAAACAAATAATATCTACTTTTTATGACTACAAATCATCCGAGAAAAAAGACATCGACGCTTAACTCCCTAGAATAAACGTCGACATCTGGACGAAACTGTTCTACAACGTCGCTGATTATCGTTACATCATACAGTAATCCATAAAAGGCAACGATCGAACCTTGTTCTTGGCGAGTTTCTCTTGTTCCTTCCCCTCATTGTCTCTTTGCTTTTCCTTTTTTATCGGTCTATAAAACTTTTCCATGTAGGACATAATTTCTTTCTGGATAGCCACACCATTTACCATAGCCGCTCGCTTGCCTTTATCACTGATACCTGAACAGAGCTAGCTCTGGCTGTAATATAGAAGTATTAAGTGAATTCCCTCGTACTCTGAGGTCCTCTCTGTTCTATTTGCTCCATTAGTAATGCTGCAGTTCATGAAGCATGAGGCAAACAACCTTTCATAGCACCCTTCGTTTGCTTCCATTTGTAGTTGAAACCCAATTTCTCCCTTCAGTGCTCTTTAATCTCTACTATAAATATCTTTATAGAGACACTAAAATGTTTTAAAAACTATTTTTCTTGCTGATGGCACATCGATATTTTTAAAATCGACTGGAAGAGAGCTCCTTCGTGCGGAAACCAAACCTCAACCATTCTGCTCTATGAGGAGACCGAAGAAAGTGTAATAAGTCGCTTGAGGTGCCCTGAAATACACCCTTGATCGGTTGTTAATCCGATCCCGCGTCCCGAGGAAACCAAAGTTTTCATCCATCCGATGTCGGAAAACTGGTGCCAGATTTGTCTGGGTGGATGGGAGCGACGACTGGATTTATTGGTAGGGTGCCGCTGCCGCTCTATACGTCAGATATGCATGCTGTTACCTTTTCGATACCACGAATAAAGACGATTGAATGGCGTTTCTTTCACGAATCAACCAACGCCGAACCCTTTATTCTTCATTCCATAATTATGAAAAGACCATGAAAAACGGTCATCATCTAGTTCGACATCGATGAATTTTCATGTGGATGAACACGATGAAAGGGCTATAGTATTTTTCGGTGGACAGGTGTCCATACTCAAGGTGCGAACAATTGGATGAATACCGTGTTGTTCCGAAAATGACCTGCTTCATTGTTTACTTAACAGTTTCTGGAGATTACCTACAATTTAAAACGTATACAATTGAACAAAATAATAAAACTCAGCTAACGTACCCGCGGTTTTTAGTATTTTCATGTGTAACTGTTTAAATGGATCGACTACACTTCGGCTTACATGTTGGAACGGAGTGGTTAACAGAGATGGCAATACTGCCTGACACATAAATTTAAATAAAATCCGAATTTAAAAAATATAAAATTTCGTTATGTGCAAAGTACAAAGTCACTCGACAACCTGATCAAATTGTCGAGCTGCCCACTGCTCACAGTGCATTAGGTTAGCTCGTGGATCGCGACGTGGTTGCTCCATCGGCGGCGGCACCGCACAGAATGGAAGCGGTGGCGGCTGAAAATGGTGCTCACGAAAAAAGTAGTTCCTATGTGTTTTGAAATTCAATCAAGTTTTTTTACAAATTAAAATGGTTGGCTTTTCCATTTGATGCTTTTTACTTTCTTCATGGGAGGGTGGTATGTGAAATTCAACCCAGATTCGTACCAGCGATTACCGCTTTCTTGGCTGGCTTAGGGTCCAGATTTTGCAAATTTCTCGGAATCGTTGCGGCTTGTTACAAATACTTCTCTAAGTTAGTACTTTTATATCTCCCATATGGCAAAGTTTGATATTTTCCGTTCGATATTTCCTACCTTAGACAGAGTTCCGTACAATAATTTATGCGGCAGCTCAGATTTAGTTTGAGAAAGATGATAAACCAAATCATAAAGCGTATTGTACCGATTACCAAAGAGTTCATAGTGACCAGATATTGATCTGGTTATGGTAAGAATCTGAAAATAAACGTTCCACAGTCTGCAAGTTTACCGAGATTACGGTAGAATGTTTAGGAAGAAACGCTTACAAATGGTATGAACGGTGATGAAGCCAATTCGGCAAGCCTATCAAGGTCGCTTTCTTTCTCATTAGCATCCGATTTCTTATCCTCTGGTGGCTTCATACTTACTTGCACCTCAGATTTTAGTGTCTGAATCATTAAACTTTTCAGTGTTAGAAAAAAAAGATTGTCTTCTGAATTTGTGACGAAAAACGAATATTTTTTAAAAATTTTTATTTTTTCTTAAAACGATATGTTTGATTTAAAATTATTCGATATAAAAGGATTGACTGTAGCTCATAGTGTCACTATCTACTTGTTCAATCATCATCTTTAGAGGACGTCAATATTTTTTGGACAAGTCAAATTTCGTATTTAACTGAATATCAATTGAAAAAGAAAATTCAGTTTCAAAGAAGAAAAACCACAAGTGGTTGCTTAGTGAATTGTGGACTTTTCCATTGCCACGTCATAAACATGAAGACCGTTTTTGACAGTTGAAAGAAAATGCAGCAAAATTCCTATTAAACTTCCGATTTATATACTTTATATTTTGCACTCCTCCCAATGGTTTACCTCTTCATCGTGTCTGGAAGGTGTTCCTGTGTGTCGGGATGCGATGTACGACTGGTGGATTCATCCTCGTGGCATCTCCCAAGCGAAGGATGGGTCCTGCGATTCGACCAGGAAGTCCAGGTAAGAGTAAACAGATACTAGAATCCACCACGGCTCTGGTATCAAACTAGCCGCATGGTGGCAAATCTCCCTCTGATCCACAAAGGCAGCCACTGCTGATGGTTGTGACGATCTGGCGCAGACTTTGCCCCAGCTGACCTCAGAACTCTACGGAACCACAACGGCTAGACCAGCAAAACTCCGAATGTAGTGAAGAGAACAAAGAACACCCGACTCCGTGCTCACTTTTTCGACTCAACGGTGCTTCCTGTCCTAACGTATGCATCAGAAACCTGGTCGCTGCGTAAGCAGGATGAAAGGTCACTCAGCGCTGTCGAACGCGCAGTCGAAAGGACGATGTTAGGAGTATCCCGTTCCACACAAGTAAGGAATGGGATCCGAACCTCCGATCTGCGTTAACGATCAAAAATCAAATACTGTTCTGTACGCCAAATAGTCGTAGATAAGGTGGTCGGACACGCAATGCGTATGAATGACAACCGGTGGACAAGAGCCGTTAGTGACTGGATTCCTCGGGATGTCAAACCTACTGCAGGAAGACCACCGACCCGATGTTCAGAGTTTTTCACAAAGAGCCTTGAAGAAAGATACGATGCTCGACGAGTCCCTAGAGCGAGCACAACCCACTGGACAACTCTTGCACGCGACAGTGAAAAATAGAAGAATTACTGGCCCCCGCTCGAGTCATTCGACGATCAACGGGACTCTACAGATGACAGGTGACAGTGACGATGACGCTTTCATTCCCTTTCTCCTTCTCCCTACTTTACTTTCAATGCCTTGCCTCCTCGCTTTCTCCCTCTTTCACTCATTTCCTCTTTTTCTCCCTCTCTCTCCCTCTCGCCCTCTCGCTCTCACTCTTCCTCTTTTCTCCTTTTTCCTTTGGACAACATTCCTGGCGATGCTCGAAGAGACGAGATAACACTGCCAATGTTGGGAAAGTGTCAGGAATAACGAAATCAGCACTCTTGTCCTTATCTATTTTAGTAATACTTAGAAAAAGCGCTTTCGTTAATCAATTTCTCCTAATAAGAAAGGGATTATCGTTCGCTTCAAGGCAAATGATAAAATGAGAAGATTATTATTGTAAGTACTTTCTGAACCATGACATGGAACTGATTCCATCCTATACCGAAACAGCCGAAAACATTCTTTCCACGAAGGAACATTATGAAACACCTAACTCCCACAATTACTACTTCATATTGCCATATATATCATCCTGCTCATCGTGTTGATATTCAAATAGAAAATTCTTCCTGTGCTACAGTAAAGAAACGAAAGAGGGAATGAAGAAGAAGTTGAAGCGCAAGAATGAGAGAAAATAAGAGAGAGGAGAGAGAGAAATAATGAGAGGCACTTGTAGCGAGAGAGAACGAGATAGTGAAAAAGAGCGGAAAAGAGTGTAACTGTCACAACGCAGCCAATCACATGTGCAGAAAAAAAGAAATGAAATGAAAACATGAGTTCAATTTTGCATGCAATCGATGAAGTCTTCAACAGTTGCTGTCGTTATGAGTTATGAGTTCTCATTAAGTAAACTCGATAACGATCAAAGCGAACAGTGAAAAGAAATGTTCGAAAATCTCAAAATATTTCCTGCTGTTCATCTAGCTGGATGTCGAACTACGAACTCAGACGCTTCTACTTCGATATGCTTGAGTTCGAGGTTCGTACGACGAACGCACTCACTTCTTTCATGGACATTTTCGCGAGTTGAAGCGGTGATTTTGCTGGTTCCGTCTTAGTATCCCTAAGCTTCTGTGCTCTTTTTGCACAATTTCTCTTGTATTCTTCGAATTTACGTCTATAAAATTTCGATCCGCTGATTGTCGAAGGATCTGAAAAATATTCCAGCAAAGTTCTTATTACATCTTATCTCTTGCCAAATGCTCTCATTCAACCGGTATAAGGTGCCGACTGTTGTCAGAACTAAGATCTTAATAAAATTCATATCACTATCGATGACTTTTGAAACGAGACATCTTCTTGCCTCACAGAAATTCCACAAAAAAGAAAAAAACCGCATTTTGATGTGTTCAATGGTTACGAGTATTTCCTAACTAATTAGACCAACTAAGAAACAGTTACATTAGAAGTGTTATCCTTATAAAAACAACATCTTTGACCAAACAGAAATCTTCAAACTTTTTGGTATTTTCAGACCGTATATCAGGTCAGGAAGGGAAACCAACTCTGTTGGCACGAACGATTTCGTCCAAACAACTTTTCAAAAAATCCTTATTCTGCCAATTTTTTGAGCTGTTTTGCTTCCTACTAGTCGCTTACTATTGAGTTTAAGAAGATGTCAAACATAACAGAAAGCTTCCTCCAACGGTCGGCCAGATTTTACCTTGACGATTCTTGAAGATATGATCTCTCAGTGATATACACGCGAGTAGAACCCAATGAAGAGTTCTTGAATTGAAAGCAGCAGCGACTATTGGGAAGTTTCCTGCGGCATCCTGTACTGGTGAGCAGATGGTCAATGGGAAAGCGGCTATTATCGACTGGTGTAGATGTTAGAGGAGGCTTATAATGACGGTAATAACTCATCTATTTTTTCCTTTTCTTCCATGTAAACAGTTTGTTCGCTCACCATATCTTTCCCTTTCAATGACGTCATCTTGAAGCTTAGTCGTTCTTTTTGCTGCCTCGCATAGCATCATCAATAAGAATGGGCGATAATCGTTTGGATCAGGATTCATGCAAACTGGCGAAAATATTACGAACACTCCTGAATGTTACGAATAACATTCATAGTCGGCTATCGACTGTAGACCACCAATTCGAACTATCGACTCTGGCGAAGGCAAAGAAGTCCAAACGTTAGCCGAATAAATGTTTAGTAACGACCTCGTCTTAGCTCATCAATGAAAAAAGGTGCATTAATCATTCATGCTGAGGTTAAGTGAATGTCGGTTTACAATAATATTCCTAGTGCTTGCAACCACAGTGACGCTAAGATATTTGCGAAACTCAGACCTAGGCCATATTTGAACCGACGAATTGCCAGTATTCTAGAGAGAGCCGAAGAAATGTGACCTCAACGAGTCTCTTTGCTAGGCTTAACAATATCCATTATGTTAGACTTGCAAGCGAAAAAGAGGAGGAAAATATCTCTTGGAGCGAGGTCGAGTAACTTGACTACAAACAGGATGTGTGGTGATTTAGATGTCATATTTAGGTGTATTCATGATCATCTGTGATACATGTCTCTTCGATTTAACAGAATTCCGGGTTGTAAAGTAGTGTTGTTGGTGGCACATATGTCCACCAGTGGTGAGATGGGAGGCGTCCGGGTTTTTCTTAAGACAACTTTCTATAGAATATTTCTATCTTTCTCTCCTGTTTTTTTCTTCGTCTTTATTTTTCAATAGAGATAGAGAATACCTGGTCGCTGTGCTGAGCGATCGCTAATTAGATGATTGTAAGCGGTGTCAACGTTACAAATTCCCAAATACCAATATGGATAAGAAAAAAGTCCAGGATTTTCTGAAAATGCGCTTGCAGAAATTTACGATTTATCCTTGAAAACTGTGAAGTGTCTGTACTTTTTTCTCGCTGAGTTCATAAGTGCAAATCGTGCAGTGTAACAAACCGTGTACGAATTTTTTCGCCACTAGCCAACAGCTGGGAATCAAACCGAGTGCCGCTTGTGGCTGATCGCCAACTATTCTCACTAAACTCCATCGAAGTGGTAGACGTAGATACTCACTTTTCGACAATGGGCGGATTCTGAAGGTTCACATTAAAGAGGCCCAAATCCAACGTACTCACTCTGATTAGGCTTTAGTTTAAATTTCTCTTTAAATTTCATGGGAATCATAAATTTGTTGGCATCTGATAAGCTTTAACGAACTTTGAAATATCCTTTAAGCCGACACTTCGGCAAGATCATCGGCATCTTCGGAGCCACATTGATTCAAGTCATTGGAATTTCTCTCTTCAAAGTGAAAAGTTGCCGTTCAGCAGTTTTAAAAAATAGTACTATTTGTGAAAAATATATTTCGTATGAAGTACTATTGTCTTTTTTCTTCTCTGTAGTTCTTTCTTCTTTTATTATACTTCTTCTTCCGTTCATTATCTTTTCCTTGAAGCACACTTCTTGTTCTGCTTTCGTTCCTTCTTACTATGATTTCCCATTTCTCTTCATACGTCGTAACCCTTCAATTCTTATTCGTCTTCAATGTTTTAATGCTCTGGCCTAACTTAATACACCTTTTCATTTTCTTGACGTTTTCTCTATCTCCTTTTTCTTTCTTTTCTTTATTTGTTCGAGCACTCTTTACCTGGACCATCACTATCCATTTTTCCTTCTCAAATTTGTTAAGAAGGGACTACATTTTTTGCTTCCACCATCAACTGTTTTTTGGGACCCGTGATTTTCCACAGTGTTTTTTACACCTAGAAGAGCCTGCATTACACATGGGTTCAATGAAGCGTCCCACGTTCTCCAAGCCTTCCATCACTCCGGTGACGGCAAATTGTTACTAGACTTGTCTAGGAGGATAGCTTCACTGATTCAATACAGCAGTATGCCATCGTGGGTCATTATATAGGCCAGATAGTTGATGAAGTCGAATGTATGGCGCATTCCACAGGGATTGGTTAACACCGAGAGCTTTTCTTTATTAAGAGCACTATTATCCTCAAAATCAGAACAGCTTTTTTGATTCATTTCACTAGACGAACTTACTGGTATTCTTCAGCGACGACATTCATTTCAGTACCAGCCCAACAATTCACATCCATACATGTATCGCCACCGAAATAATCCCATAGACAAACACATTCGATTTCGACCGGCTTCGAGGAAACCACCATTGGAGTGAACGCCGCTGCCTTAATGAATGAAAGCGATTGTGAGGAGTTTCATTGTAGTGAAATTCCGATAGGAAACCATGAAAAACAGCCGAAACTGCTTAGTTATTTCTTGCTGGCCATAAAAGTTTACAATATGAACTTATAAATATACAATATCAACTATGAACTTAGAAATATATCTTCCCTGGTCGAAAGATTAGAAATCAAGCCATATAAATAGAGTTTTTCCTGGCAAAATGTGAACGAGGAGGAATCGACGACGTTAGACTGCGCCTTCTCGTCTCGTGCTTGTAACAATCTCGGGAGCGTTCAGTTCTTCATAGATTGTAAAAGGATGAAATAACTACATACAAATCTTTCAAGGCCTACCCAGTCATTACATATAAAAAGCGATTTAAGTTATCACTAATAATTTCGCTATTAGTCGAGTAACTTGAAGACTGCCGCTAGCTATGCCACCATTAATCTCATTCTTACACTGGAGCCTCTCTGTCGACTTCTTTGTTTCGAACGACACGAAATGTATCACATTTTCAACGTAAATCCCTCTATATAAAAAAGAGCTCCCACAGAAGCTTTGCGTGATTTAACATTCCGCGGAATTACTAATAATGCTCAACATGATAGAGCTAACACGGGATTGGTCCAAAACTTTCATTCGACTAACGCTTTGACGCCTTCTTCCTCCTTAGAACCAGACTGACTCAAGTTGATGGTCCGCAGCAGGCCATTCGCGCATCGACTTGAATTCAATGGAAGAAAGAAACGCTCGAATGCCTCGACAACGAACATCCACATCGCAACAACGACCAGCTTGGATCATTGACTCCGATTCAAGCTGTTCTGATAAAGATGAAATCATCGAAAAGTTAGCCGAATGAGAGTTTCATACCAACCTTGTGTTAGCTCAATCATGTAGAAAATCAAAGCGTTCAATTGAGACTTTAGCTAAGTGGCTAAGCGTGAAAAATATGCACGCTATATTCCCGCTTCATCTCACCAACCTCAGGAGAACAATATACTTCAATACTGTATGAAGCGCATATCTGCCAAAGTCGCCAACATCTTTAAAATTATCTTCACTTCTTCATTTGGTACTTGGATACTTGGACGGGCCGGTATGTTTTCACTAATTATTGCCGACCCTAGCATATTTTCTACTTTTTTGGAGTTTGGCTGTTTAGCCATTGTGGTTCCCTGGACTGCCGAGGTTAGCCTGGCTAATGTCTGGCCCAGGTCGTCACCACTACAGACAGTCGCCGCCCTTGTGAATCAGAAATTTGCCACCCACCATGCGACTAGTTTGATACCAGAGCGATGACGATCCTCGTATTCTTAGCCGGCCTTCCTGACGAAACCACCAGATTCCGTCTCAACTTAGGTTACTCTGCCGTGCAAATGAGTTCACCCGTTGTACAACGCAGCCCTACCCCTAGGAACACCTTGCCACGATGGGGAGGTAAACCGCTGGTTTTCAGTCACCGTTAGCAAATCCGTATTTTTATTTCATGTAAAAACAGCATTTTTTTTTAGATGAATAGTATAAATAGAAGTCAATAGGATGTAAGTGAGTTAGAACAATGCTTGAAGAACCAATACATACGTACATCACAATTTGAGATTGTTTGAATCTTGAAGTAACTCTAAACGATGTAATAGTTGCTATTCTTCTGGAAATTTTCTAAATAGAGTTCAGCTGTTCAGATTTTGTTCGGCGATGGCTGATATTGAAAAAATGCGCTCACAGAGCTATGATTAGGTGATCAATGCCTGTGATTTGCATGCTCATCGCTGCTCACTATCGTTTGCGTTGCGGATATCGAGCGATATCACCGAACAGAACGCCTGCATAAAAATCGTGTTTCTTTAAGAGTGGAATTGTAACTAAACGGATTCTTTGCTCTGTTCCTTAGTGCTCAAACGTCATGTTGCTGCCACAAGAAAATTTTTGCTTACGAAAAAACTTCTTATAAAAAGAAGGTTTTTCCAGACGGCTTTACCTATGTACAAAAAGAAGTAGGGCCTCGCCCTTCTATACCTGATCGGGCTCATCGAAAATAATATCATCAGAAAGCAGTCGTCCGTCATAATCGAAGCCTAGTGAGAGAAGACTTTTCATGATACGTTCCGTTCTGTTTTGATTCATATCGGCGTCAAATTCACGAATATCTTCTGGTGGCTGAAATAAAACAGCTATAAAATCAAGCATTCTTTAACACTGGACATTCATTTGCGTCAGAATCACCTTTCTACTTCGTGTTTACTTTCTCCGACGAATACCCTCATTTGTCACCCAGCATGGGTCACGTTAACTAACCAATCAAACCGGATCCTGTTGTTCTATGAGCTCTCCCGAAAAACAAGAAGAGTATCAGACTTTCACTATGATGTTTTTTTTACTGTTGTGATTTTAAAGGTACTTAGCTTATGAGGTCTTATCTATTATCGTAGCGTTGGTGTATTACGAGCTGGTCTTCCAGAGGAAGGTGCAGAACTCCTCAGGATAACTGGGAGCGCAACGAGAGTTGTCTCATATTTCGTATAAAACCTTTGCGTATGTAACTTTTCTGGTAGAAATTTCTGAATGTGTCGTTGAAATTCACCTGAGAATATTCGCTGGAACTATCGGTAGCCATTTCATATTTCTCACAATACGGTATCGCATGCGTTGGAATCGCTACCACATCGCCTCTTTTCACTGTGAACTTATATTGACCATCGCTTCTCGCTGAAACACTGTTTATTTGATGGTAATTGGTTTAGTGGTTAGGTTCAGCAGCCATGTTTTATCGTCACAGGCGATTTGCGTTTTAAAAAAATTTTAAAGCGAAAATTAAACGCTATCCTCCGATCTCGTGTTGAGTACCGTTCCTAAATTTTCGTAAGCTGCTTATAAAATAAAATACGACCACATTGATGCTGAGATATTTGCAAATCTCAGACCTCAGGCCAGATTCGAACTCTCGGACACCTTTTTCGAGGCTCACGTGTTACCCACTGCACCGGTGAGGCAACCTTTTTGCACTTGTATCAATCAGTCTTTTACCCTAACGGTGCCAACAACCTTTATCAACTACATCTTGCAAATTTTATTATTGAATCACTCTACCAATAAAGAGTAGTGGCTAGCCACAGTTTGACTGCAGCTGCAGTCTCTAGCTCAACATCTAGTCTGTCGTAGTTCTACGATCTCCTAGAGCAGAAATGAAGCCAGAGGCTGTTTCCAAATATCTTAAATGTTATTCTTTATCCTTCTTCGTTTATGCCTCTTTTATGTTTTTAAAGATAGCCCGAGCTGCAATATAACAACCAGTGTGCTTGGTGTTTCTTGTAGGTTTATGCTCAAAATTTAGCGCATAGTACATCTTTGTGTTTTAAATTTTCATAGAATCTTGTTTAAAATTTTACTTTGATTAGTCCTATAAGAATTTATGAAGCTCTTGTAGCACAGTGGTTAGGGGTGCTTTACGGTTCTGTTGTAGGCAAATTGGCACAAGACTTGACTGGAAGAATAACAGCGCTGATTTGATACATTTGCAAGCAACTCAAGCTGATTTACAAGTCAGATATTCATCCAGCCATCCAGCCACTTCTACGATACTACGAATGGGGTCTCATACATGGCTCACGGTTCATGGATTCATCAAAGCAGAACTTGAGCTTTGTCCTCATCGCTTTGTGGCAACTGGGACCAATCACGTCGGTATTTTTTCCTATACAAAAATAGGGAGTAGAAATATTTGTACAACTTATACATTGTTCAAAACTTCAGTACTTACATGCAGCATAAATGCACATAAAGTGCAGCAGTACAACAACGCAGATATAATCTTATATTTTCAACAATATTGCACTATTCTAAAACTTTTCTAGTCGTATTTTATACTCTACTATGTGACTTGAAGCAAAAAGGATGAAGGAAGAAGCTCTTGGCGTTGATGTATTCCTGAGGGTTACGTTATACGTTCGGCTTGGTCATGCATAGTTAGAGATGACTGAGTGCATATCTGGCATGGCCTACGGAATACGTGGAAGAAAATGCAAATAAAGTCCTTAATACCAGTGTCGTTGGAAGTCTGTGATGTCATTGGACGGAGCTGATGTGGATGGTTTCGTTACCGACTGAACCACACTTAACTCCGTCGATCTTCTCAATGACAATGAGCAATTCCGACTTTTCGTTATCATTTGATAATTGTCAAAATATTTTTTTAAACAATGCTAAGTAATAAACTTGATAACGTAGTCAACGGTGGTCAACCATAAACCGATTTTCTTATTCTTATGATAGTATTAGTCAGCAATGTACCTCACGTTGCTGTTAAACGGTTAAACAGTGATCTAAGATGTATTTCCTTAGCGATAAACCTAGAACGGATGGTTTTAGATTCCTTTTTTGACTAACAATTCGGCGTCTTCGCCTTTTAATCTTAGTAGTCAGACCGAGTCGAATGTGGAACAGCGAGTATCTGCCAATATTTGCAATGGCTTCGCTCGACACAAATTGCTCAGGGGCTTTGAGAACGGTAATGAAGCGAGAACATTAGTTATAACGGAAAACTGTAACGACCTCCACTTATCAGCTTATCGCTGTGGTAAGATATTGCTAGTCCACGTCAAGCTTCGATGAAAGTCGGTTACTTCGGTTTTGTAGAATATCGAGCACTACATGTTGGATTTCTTTCATGAACACTCTAATGAATGGATTGGATATCCAAATCGTGTTGGTTGACAAGCAGATCGATTTGTATTCGTTTCATTGGAATCGCATCGATATCATCGCTTATGAAGTTGATCTTTTTCGTGTTAATATTACATCTACAGCCTCGCAAAAATGATTTACAGCTACCAATTAATTAAGGCAATCTTCACAAAATGATTTTCGACTGCTTTACCGACGGTATCACGCAAAGCTAAGTGATACTAGTTGTTTCGAATAAAACGGCTCATGATCCCGCTTCAGTTGCATTTTCGCTTTCTTTCCTTTTTTCACTTTTTTAAAGCCTATCGAAATCACGATCATACATCATGTCTCTTCCTAGCAATACTGCGGCTCGTTGACTATGACTTAATTTGTCGTTTTTCAATTCTTCTCTTTCAACAGATAAAAAACGAAAACACGACGACAGATCCTTTGACATAAACACAATCGATATGTTCTCTACTATAGCATTAAAAAAACTTAGAGAGACGAGGACTCCATGACGAATAAGCTGACCAACAAGGCGGAAGCAGCTGGACTACATTGGTTGACGGTTCACCACAGATTAGAGGAGATAACCTATGACGATATCCATTGGTAATCAAGAACAACATGGAAATCATCAAAACATAGGAAAGCAACATAAGTTTGCCAGATCAACAAAATCTCAGTTTTATTAGAAGATTTGGTGGCTGGGTATAAATCAAGCGCAACCATTGCAATTTACTAGGTTTTTCTTAATACTTCGGTTTAGTTTGATGTTTAACCAATGTCTATACTGCCTTGTAGTTTCATACACTGACCCTTCTTGCTCGTTATTGATTAGTCCAAGTATATATTTAATTAAATTATGAGCAAAATATAGCTGGTTTCATTGTCCCTACTGAGACAAAAGGCCACGTTCTCCTGACGTCAACACAGAGGCACCGGTAATGTAACGGAGTTAATGGTTACGCATGGACTGGTAGATTGGTATAGCACTGAAAAGAAAGGAACTTTCTTTGCGTTTTTTTTAAAGATTTGCATTGCATTTGATCGATTACAAGAACGATTGCCATCACTAAGTTGCTATTCTTGTTTTGCACGGCAGTGATGG